GTGTATACAGTATACCCTTTGAGAACCAACAATTAGGTATTGAGAAAGAGTATATCGGAGTAACCAGAAGAAACCTGAAAGTACGACTAAAGGAGCACAAATATAGTATAAATAAAAAACTGAATAGTACGATATTAGCAAGTATGGCACAGGCAGACGGATCAGTAGTCAAATGGGATGAAGCCAAGATTGTTAGGACGGGACACTCACCTTCCATCGCAATGGAAATGGAGAAAATAGAGATTTACAGAAGTAAGATGAGGGACAGATGCCTAAATGCAAAAGATGCAAAAGCATTACCAACGGCTTGGAAATATAAAATTGAGAAAAATATGGGTTTTAATAATCCATAAACATTTTCATGTTCTGGAGTTTTTAGTATTTCAAACTCAAAGTTATAAATTTTCTTTTATTTTATTGTTAAATTGAAACGCGATTTTTAGATTACATTTTATCATATATTTAGTTTAATTTATTTATTATACATAAAAGTTGTAATAAGTTCAAATTCAAACGAATTTCGAACGAATGATTCCATTACAACGAAAACTATTAAAACCTGAAGATGGCCTATACGAATTGGCCGAAAACGTTTGGAATAAACAAAAATAACTCGGCAAAAAATTCAGGTGTGTGTGATTTATTATTATATATAGATAATTTTATGTAAATTGTGCACAGGGTGCAGTTTATCTATTATTTAACCAGCAGTTGCTCTGGATACTTGGGAAACTATCTGGTTTTGCAAACAAGTGATTTAATTGTTGTTTTATTATTTTCTAGGTAAGGTTTAGCTTAGTCTGTTGGTTATCAATTTATTTTATTTATATTTTTTTTGGGTACTTCTCCCATATAAATTTAAGATTAGAATGTATTTAATTGTTTGATTATTATTTTATTGATGTTGTTGCATATATTTGTGGGATATGTTGTATAATTTTGTATTGTTTTTGTATATTTGTTTTGCTTTTTATTCTTCTCCTCATATCATGGTTTCGTACCAGTATACTTAGATAAATAAATAAATTAATAAAATATATATATTATTGTATTATTATTACTTGTATTCAACTTACTTCAAATACATATATTATTTGAAACTACTCTGAATTACAGATATTTCAAACTATTGATATGTTTTCAATTAATTGCAATCATGTTTTAAAATAATCAATAAATTTGATTTAAAATTTTAAGTAAATATAAAAATACAAACCTGTTAAAATTTTCATCATTCCCACATTGTGAAAAAGTGGAATGTTATTTATTCTTTCTTCTAAATTTTCATAATAAAACAATATTGCTTTGATATCGCTGATTATTACTTCATTTTTTAGAAATTCCTAAAATAACATATTATAAAAATTCCCAAAATTACAATAATAAAATAATACTTTTATCTATTCATAAATTTTGTAATATCATGATTTACTAATGTTTGTTTATGTTAGGCTCAAAAACCAAAAATTCTCATTGAACAAAAAAAATTAACCAAAACTCATTCCAACTTCTCAGATCCAGCCATTATGCTAATTTCGTGTCATGGCACATTCAAAAATGCACATAATGCATTTTGGCATACTCAATAAGATCACAAAGCATAATTTGTGTCAATATTCTTTTAATAATCAACCAAAACACAACCTGGCAGCATGAAAATGCCACACTGCATTGTGGATGCTCATTAATGCATTACAGCATAATAAAAATATCTGTGCAAAAATTTGATACTTATTTTTAATAAATAATTTATATATAATTTCCACTAAAGGTTATGACTACTTCTGAACTATGTTTATTGTTAAAAAATACTCATCAGTGGCATGAAAGTTCCTATTACAAATGTTATGATTAAAAGAACCATAATGTAATAAATGCAACTCTGGTTTTCTTTCATAATTCACAATCGACAATACAATTTGCTGTAAATTGTTTTGTTTATGAATCCTTGATATCTATGTATAATACCATAAAATCATAGATAACTGAAAAAGTATTATAAATTTAAGTCAAATAAGAAATTTATTTGTAAGCAGTGTATGGAGTCAGTAAACAAAAAGTCCAACTCCAACTCCAGCAAATTTGTAATGTGCAGTTCCAACTCCAACCTTATCCTCTCTTAAAATGTCACACTATAATTCCTTTTATAAGAAAAATACCATTGGGGGTACCCAAATATTTTTATTAAAAATTTCTGTACAAAAAGTCATACTAAAATTGATGGTAAGAATAATAAATGGATATAATGAATTTACTCTGGAAAAATTTTCAAGTATGTAAAGAAACATGTGACCGAAGGGTCGGCACCTTTTCGATGCACTGTCAGGATGACACCACCGCATCTTGGTCAACATGGAAGCCGTGCTAACTAGGTCATGCGAGTAGTCACGTAATGATCAGGTTCGGGATGGAGGGAAAGACAACACACCGGAAGTGACTTATGCAGAGAAGAGTTAATGTAACAACCATTTAATAGGTAAAAAAAGGGGTAATACAGGACATACAATATCAAATGGAATATCATAGATTTAAATACATTGGTTGTGAGTGATATTATATATTTTAGACAAAGTTAACTTAAAGTCCATGAGAGAGAGTTTTGAGAATCTTGAGAGAGAGAGTTTACAATAAAAGCGTGTGGCGATAAATACCTGGAGTTTTTAGTGATTCGCTAGTAGGTCTTAAGGTTCTTGATGATGAAGTTAGTCCAGTTTAGCAATCAAGTATTCTGGTTCGGCAGCAATGTTAATCCAAATAATAGGCACTTAATAAGTCCGATGGACGACAAAGTTAAATCCAGTGGAAAGCACAGTGCACACATAAAAAAATATGGAGCTTGAGACTGATCTCTTCTAGGACGGTGTGACAACTGCCCTAACTTTGTTGTTCTGTTCTATATTATGTTCTATACAGACGAAATCAAGATATTAGGTTGAGGGGTGATGAGAAAGCATCATTGTCAAACCTGAAAACTTAACAAATGTTTTGCTCCCAAGTGTAAAAGTTGACAGTTATTTAACGAGATTATAGTTACAATGTGACATTATGAATAAATGATGTAAACATACTAAAAGTCAGGATTCGGATCCTCACAAACACATTATATCTTAATAGCCAAAAGAATTCCACTTTTATTAGTTAATTATGAAAAATTAATTTAAATTTAATTATTTTCAAGAAAAAAAATTAAATACAATAAAATGATGAACAATGTAAGAACAATGTAAGAAATTAGTCCATAAAATAGTTTCTCCTACTTTGGCTAAAACATAAACAGTTAAGTTCCTACCAACAGTTGACTAAACTGAAGTATATACTGTAGTAGAATTTTAAAATATGAAATTTAGTAAAAAAAATCAATTATCTCGAACCAATGGGTGCAATCATACCCCAAGAACCTGAGAATAATAAGCTGAAACAATCCTATTAATTACATTTTGCAGTTTTCTCTTGCTCTTTTAGTTTGTTGCAGTTAGATTCTTGAACTTAATTTTATGTTTTTCTATTGATTGTTTTAAGACTAATTACATTGTTGAAACTATAATACATAGTCAACTTGAAACCAATAGGACAATAACAAGATTAATTAGTCTAATTAGTCAAAAACCCATTGATATCCAAAATAAAACATCTGAAATGTAAAAAAATATTGCACCAAGTAACAATTACGGCACCTAAAATGAAAGTAAAATTTTTTCTTAAAAACTTCTTTTTGGTAAAGATAAGCTTGGTGCTTTAAAGCAATGTGAAACTGTATTGGTGTAACACATGTGATAAGACAACAAAGCAAATAATGATCAAATCGCTTTATTAGTCAAATGAGTTGACAGAGAACGAAATGCCCATCAAAGAGACAAATATATATAGATATATTTACAGCTTCTCCTCTCTCATTCAAACTTCCCATGACAAATTTAATACATACATATAATCCCAATTAAAACTAAGATAATTATAATTAAACTTAACCTAATATTATTACTAACAGAAATAGGAAATGAAGGATAGTTAGAAAATCTACCGGTAGCTAGATCTGTGAGTCCTGAACTGGGTGAATATTGACGGTGATCACTCACTTCGTGCATGGTGAATGTACAATCCAGGGGGTACAAAGCAGTTATTAATAAACGTGTGCTAAGGCAGTTCTTTGGACCTCTCCAAAATGGCTATCTCAATTATTTTCTTGTCTTCATTCCTACTTGGTCTATGCTGGCCCTTCCTCTATTTCACCCTCAGCCTTACACATGGTCCTCCAGTGTGAGGCCCCAGAAATAGCCCCCCAAAAAAGAAAGACATGTAAAAATTTGTTAAGTTCAATCGTCAAGAAAACAAATTATATAAAGGTTGAATCGGCGACACCAGACTTTGACGTCAATGCTCATAAAGAGTAGAAGGAAAAACAAAATTTTAGATGTAAAAGAAGAAAATTTAAAATATTACAGTTAAGACGTAGTTTAGAAAGCAAAACAAAACTAGAAAAAATATCAAAATGAGCATAGGTGTCATAGTCAACAATTAAACGCCATCAGAGTCTAAAAGATGGTGTCGGATAAACCATCTCCAGCCAACCTTTCCTGCAAACTTTACGAAGCTCCATTTACACCTGGAGACAGGTGGAAGACCAATTAGAAAACAATGATGTAAAGTCTGTCCAATTAGCAAAAAGCCGATCTCGAAAAACTTATAAAAACACCAATTCCAAGGGCAACAAGACTTCCACTAAGACTTTCCACTAAACTTCTGTTGTGTTGGTGTATCTCCATTTTTTTTGAACCTCCGTTCATCTTTCATGTACTGTCTCTCGAGACTTTGAACTTTTTACTCCACACTCTCCAGGAGCCCCTGCAATGCTAGACCAGATCGCCGCCAAAAATCCCTATGACGCTGGACCAGATCACCGTCAAAACTCCTACGACACTGGACCAGATTACATCTGAAACACCTACAACACAGAATTGGATCGAATCCAAAGACATCTTAAAGTTTGGAATCTAAGGACCTTTCCAACGAAAAAATTTATGTAAGCATTTTCGATCAAGAATAAACGGTTTGCCTCTGTAAAACACTTGTCTTTTGCTGCCTCTCTAAACTGCCACCCACATACACTTAGACCCTAGACCATCCCGACAGTAGGGAATAAAATTCCCCCCAATCGGCATTCTTACATCAGTCACTCTTGCTTGACCTCTCTCCTTGGTGGCAAACCCAAAAGTGTCCTTTATCCTCACCTCGTGTCTATTGGTAGCTTCAGGCAGGACCCCCTGCCTGTCCCTTTGTAAATTGGCCAACCTGGACCCACAAATAGTACAGCTCCTGTCACATGACAAAAAGGGTTAAAAACGGAAGGGAGAAGAATTATAGGAAAAAAAACAGGAGTTCTTATTCTATATATACTACAATTATATACAACAAAATGGCAGCCACAGCAATACCATAAGCATTTACTTTCCAGGCACAATCCCACAACTAACTACAAGTGTTCAATGGTTTTATGTACTCAGCTACTAGTGGGCCTTAAATTAATAAAAACTATTTTCTGAAAGTATAGAACATGTTGCATAGAATATGCATAACATTCTGCTATGAAATGGCCTTTATGGGCTAATATCATATTGATATCTAAATTTATCAGTGTCCATTTTCTAAGAAATTTCTTTAGATACTAATTAATTAAAAAGTATTTTCCTTACTTTACATTTTACCAATAGCAAACTTAGGAGTGAAGTTGCTGGAGTAAAAAATATTTAACTGATTCCAACTCCACCCAAAAACATCCAACTCTGGCAACTCTGACTCCACAACACTGTAAGTCACTTTATCAATTGATTGCAAATTTGTTTTCAGTAATGATGCTCCCACAAAGAGACCAGCACCAAATTTTATTATATTAAAAAAACATAATGATAAATAGACATTTGACTTATAAATTTGAGAATTATATTGAAAATAAAGTTAGCCTCATTAATCTTATGTTAGACATAAGATTAATGAGGCTAAGTGTTTATTTTCAATATAATTCTCAATATAGATTAGAATTTGATTTTATTCTGAATAAAATGAAACTTGTAACTTATTTTTGCAGATATTTTTATCACATTGCATCATGGCTGCATTAATAAATGTCCACAATGTGTTGTAGCATTTTCACATTGCCAGATCTTATTTTGGTTGATTATTTTAAAAAATCTTAACATGAATTTTGCTTTTTTGATCTTATTGAATATGCCAAAATGCATTGTGCTGCATTTTTGAAAGTGCCACAACATAAAATTTGTGTTGTGGCACTTTCAAAAAACAGAACATACAAGGTCTGTTCAAAAAGTATCGGACCTTTGGTCGGCAAAAATAAATTTATTGACTTTGAGGTACAAAACCCTAATCCCCTTCAAAGTAGTCTCCTTGGTAATGTATACACTTCTCCCAGCGTTCCTGCCATTGCTGGAAACACTGCTGAACGCATCTTTTGGAATGGCCATCAGCCAGTCCGTTGGATTCCGCACAATGTCTTCTCTCGACTAAATTCGGGTTCCTTTTAGCGGCATTTTCAGCTTGGGAAATAGCCAAAGGTCACACGGAGCCATGTGNTTAATGCATCTGTAAATATAAAAGTAACAGAATGAATAGAGTTAAAGAAAGAAAGTGTTAATATATTTAATACATATATTATTGTAAGTGGTATAAAAATTTAAATAAATCCTTTTTTGATTGTTCTATTTATAATAATAATTTTTCTTGTAATATTATGGCTGTATTAATGCAAGTTAGGTGTAATTCATTCGATTTTTTTTTATGTAATTACAACAGGGAAATTTGCATGTATGGTGCAGTTGATTCACCCACCATTGGATGCATATCACGTGATTGCTGTTTGCACTTTCTTGTCAAAATTACATGAAGAGACTTTTCGTGTTATCTGTTTTTCATTTGATGACTTTAAAAAAGTAATATCTGATTTTTATTTGTTTTTTAAGGTATTTATTTTTATTTAAAAAAGTTAAATTGTTTATTTTATCATGATGTTTTATGATAATTTTGACTTTTCTTTTTTTTAGGTTTATAGTAATTGTGAGGGTAGAATATCGTGAGAATGAATCAACACAATAAGACGTAAGCACTTCTACAGGGGGGACAATTTATAACAAGCATGCTTGGTGGAGCAGACGCTTATCAGGGGAAATCCACTAGACTCGATGGGGACTGGACAAAGACAACTATCAAATTCTACAAAATATTCCTTTAATATACTTGGGAGCATACAGCACTCTGCCAGAAGTGGGGTTTTGTCATATCCTTTCCTCTCCTCCACTCTGGGTAGAAAACAGTTCCAAATTCTGAAATCTCACAAACTTGCTTGCACAGTCTTTTTTTCTTTTTCATTACACACTTTCACCACCACTCTTACTTTCCTACTTCACCGTTCTCTGTCCACTTCCGTTCTCTCTTCTCCCCGAGGCACACCCTACCATAAAAACTCCACCCACGGTTACACACCCCAAAATTACATAACTCCCCTCCACCGAGTCGGACCCACCATGTGGCGAAGGGGGGCAATAAAAGACGTAAGGCACAGTGATAATATTGTTAACTAGCTGTTACCCGCAACTTCGTCCGCAGAGGTTTTGCAAGCAAACCCCATTTACATTCAATATTTCAATAACCATAATAATTGTTAGGTCTATATAACACTTACAGCTGAAGAGAATTGCCGAGAATCAAACGAACTATTTTCAATTTGATCAATTTTCTGGAACGTTTACAATCATTCTATAATCAAACCAATATGCAATAACAAATTTGAATTTAAAACAGTTCGAACATTTTTAAAATTGAAATAGATAAAAATATTTATAACAATGTCTGAAATGTTATCAATTTAATACACCTAAGTACTCAATGAAGACTAAATGTAGTTGAAAACAAAAAATTGCATCTAAAATAGTACAGTAGAAGCTGTTCTTCCGGTTAAGCCTTAATGCTCTCCCTCTCTCCCCGCGGGGGAATTTAGAAAAATCCCTTCTTAGTGTGCATTGCCATGACTTACCCTACTAAAACGCACTTGAAAACAAAAAATTGCATCTAAAATAGTACAGTAGAAGCTGTTCTTCCGGTTAAGCCTTAATGCTCTCCCTCTCTCCCCGCGGGGGAATTTAGAAAAATCCCTTCTTAGTGTGCATTGCCATGACTTACCCTACTAAAACGCACATAAAAACAAAAAATTGCATCTAAAATAGTACAGTAGAAGCCGTTCTTCCGGTTAAGCCTTAATTCTCTCCCTCACCCCTCGTGGGGAATTTCTAAAAATCCCTTCTTAGTGTGCATTGCCATGGCGTATCCCACTAAAACACAGATAAAAACAAAAAATCGCATCTAAAACAGTACAGTAGAAGCCATTCTTCCGGTTAAGCCTTAATGCTATCTCTCTCCCCCACTTGGGAATTTCAAAAAATCCCTTCTTAGTGTGCGTTTTCATGACGAACCCTAACTGTGTACCAAATTTCTGCTCTTTAGGTCCAGCGGTTTGNAAAATATACCAATTGTTAACTAAATTTCAGTAAAATTAATTTCAGATTTCAACAAAAAAATAAATAAATATCTTACATAGAAAAATACTTTTTTATTTATACCTTAACTGTATAGTCTTTATCTTTCATCCATAAATCTTGATACTCCTTATAACTATCAATGACACTTCTAATAATCTGAGCAATTGCTGATACTGAAGAATTCAATACTAGTACTAATTTTGATATTTCATTATTTTCTACAGCTGCTCTATAATATACTGATATTTCTTGCATACCTAAAATAAAATTTTTAATGATAAAATTTCTTAATACAGTAAAACCTCATTATTTTGAAACTCAAAAATTAAAAAAATACACAACTTTGAATTCTCCAAACGTTTTTAAATCAAATATTTTTGTAATTCTCAAATAAAATTATAACATTATCTTATATAATTTTACTCATTCATTTACAAATATGCTAATATTACAAGTTATTGTATAGTAATTTAAACTATTTTGGAAAAACCATTGGTGGCATGTACTGTACTTAATGTAAACAACAAAAATATATCCAAATCACATTCAAAACAAGACTTGAAAATAACATACAAAAGAAGTCATCTACACACTATTGTTTGAAATTGATAAAAACATCATGTCATGTAATGAGTACTAGTTTCCTTGACACTGATAATAGGATGCCTGAAAATAAAACATGAAAACATTAAAAACACCATTTTCTGTAATATCTTAATACTTACAGCATCATTTCAGCAAAAGGGTTAGAAAGTAGCCATTTTTGGTGGTAAATACTAAAGTAAACTCTATAAAAAAATTAAACAGTAAACTTTATTACAGAAAAAAATAACAATTAAAATGACATTTGCACAAATTTATTTTTTTTTTTATTAATTAAGAAAGTAATACAATGTAGTGTGTTTAATCTTTTTCATATAGTTCATGTACTGTTTTTGATATTTTGTCCACTGCAATTGTTAGAGTATTATCTTCACATAAATGCTTACAAAACACCTTTCTCACAACGGAAACTAAAGAAAATGCCTCGTCACATGTAACATGCACATTTTCCAACAGTTTTCATGTGATCTGATGAAAACAAGCTCTATTAATTAATTAATTAAGCTCTAAGCTATAACTACACTATTCTACACTATTGTAAATATGCACATGAATTTAATAGACTTTGGAATTATTAAAACAATAGATTTTTGCAAAAAAATATCCAAAATAATTAAATATCAAACAAATTTCTTTTATAAAAAAAAATTCTTTCTTCATTGGCAATGCTATACAATATCTAAATTACTTTAAACGGAAGTCAAATAAATCAACAATATATAATTGGTGAAACCAAAACTGAAAATGCCACTTAGGGTTGGAAACTTTCCTTATAAGCATGTAATATAATGAGAGATTTCAAATTAAATAATAATTTTGAATATCACCAGACTAGATAATGACTTTGAATTTCATCATACAAGTATTTCAAATAACCTGAACTAAAATATATGCAAAATCCTATTCTCTTGGCTGAAGAGTAAATTAGACTATGAATATGCAATACTTCAAATCATCTGATATTGAAATAAGAAGATTCTACTATATTTGATTAAGATTTGTATTTGTAATAAAAGAAAATATCAAAAATGAAAAAACTGCCACACCTATAATTAATTTTTATTAAAATTATTTAATTTGAAAAATGGAATTAATGATACTAAAATTACTACAGATTGGTAAGATAATGAAATTTCATACCATTACAATTTTAAAATTGACAAAATTTAAAAATTAATATTTAAACCAAAAACAAGTTCTCTATTTTATAAAGAATTTGTTTTTTAGTTTGAATTAATTTAAGAAATTATGTTAAACAATACTGAAAACAAAATACAAAAAAATATTTGTGAAATTCTACTGAACATCCTTTCACATTCACAATCATTAAAATAATTAACAATAGTGGAGTCAACCTTTCTTTACAGGCTCTTCTAAATAATTTGCATATGTGTAAGTGGAGAAGTTTATATGATTTTGGATATTTATAAAAACTTCTTTATCAAATAAAGATTAAATAATCNAAGCCAAACAAGATCATTGCAGTAATGAGCAGGAATTGATTGACTGTAGATAAATAAAATGCATTAAGAAAGAATCTTTACTTGAATTATTATATTTCATTGATGTTTTTAAACATTTTTTTTTTTTTTCCATTATTAGTGTGGGGATGGAAACTATCAAACATACATTAACAAACACAATTGAAAAAGTGTGAAAAAAATGATATTCTCAACATTGAATTGATATTATAAGAAACATTTAATAAATTTAAAGATATTTTCAAAAAAATTTTTTAATTTTCTGCACATCTTTTCAATTCAATAGTTTAGTTTACATTAATCTATATGAGTTAACTGATTGGAAGATCTTATTGACAAAACAATGTAAACAATGAATGACACTGTCAAAAGTATAGATATATTGATCCTGTAAATGATTGACTGTAATTTTGTTAGCATTATAAATAAAATTAAACTTCTTATTCCTGTGTTGATCATATTTCTTTTTTAAGTATACTCTTGCTAATTCAACCTCTGTTTTAATCTGATCACTTTTATTCTATCTTCTGCTAAATGCTCAAGCTGAAAACAGGAATCATAGATCATTTTTAAAAACATATCAGATTTGTAAGATAAAGATTGAAAATCCTTAACAAAATATATGGATTTTTAGTCTCTGTATTAAAAAGAAATTTTTATAAATATCCAACTTTTAAACAATTTGCATACATATAAAGAGAAGAGAATCTACAAAGAAAAGTTGAATCTGTTAGTATTAATTGTGTTTTTGTGATTGTCAATTGACATTTAGTAAGACTTCAAAAACTTCTTAGTTTTGTATTTTGTTTTTAATCTTTATTTTACAAATTTAAGTTAAAATTATTTCAGATTAAGTGAACACAAACTTATATTTAACTGAAAGTCATTACATATTATAATCTATAGATCTAATACAAAATAAAATTTTTGTTTATTACAGTGGAACCTCACTTAATGAGCATAATTCATTCCAGAATCTTATTTGTAATGCAAAACATTCATTAAGCAAAATAATTTTTTCCTATAAATTAATGTAAAATATGATAATGTGTTCCATGCCAAAAAAAATGCTCAAATATTTTATGTATAATGTTTATTCAAAAAAAATTATACAATATACACTGTTAAGGAGCATAAATCATCATCATCTTTTCTCATTATCTTTTCTTCTAGTGCAGAATAAACCAACCTGGAATGCAAATTTGATTTGCAGAAAACAAAAAAAAATTGAAATTTAATTTGGAATTGGTCATTAAATTTAATATGAGATGGCAACATAACTGCCTATCTTTAGACAAATTATTTAATTTCTAATATTTAATTATAGCCTTTACATAGCCCAAGAATTTGGCATATCATTTGGCATGTTTATTATATAACGGGCTATGGTTGTTGATGTTTATATACAGTGCCGTAACTAGGCAGGTGCAACAGGTGCACCCGCACAGGGCCCACTTGAAAGAGAGGCCCAAAATGCATGTATTTGTTTTATTACTTTCCCAAACCTAATTAATTAAGGGGCCTAAATACAAATTCCTGCACAGGGCACAGGAATGGCTAGTTACGGCACTGTTTATATATAATATGTTTGATCACAAGTTTGGAAAAAATGTGTGATCACAAGCAACACTAAGATGTAAGTGGAACAAGTGCTAAACACAGACTGATGTAGCATGCACACAATCTGGGACTTTCCCTCTCCTCATCATGCGAAATGTTGCTTGTTAAGCGAGAATTTTTTATCATTTGTTTTGCTCATTATATGAATTACTCATTATGAGAGGTGCTCATTAAGCAAGGTTCCACTGTATATTCTAGAGATTATTTATGGTATTCTCTCAAGTCATTGAAGCTTGGGTTTTAGAAATATATTCACTTTTACATGTAATATATATGAAGTTGGCAACATAGGAAAGTTGCTGTAAAAGTTCAAGACTAAGATGAAGTGAGTGAATGCAAGCATGAGGGTTTGAAATGATAAAAATCAGCTTTTTTTTTTTTATTGTTTTTCCAAATTTTGGAGTCTTGAGATAGTCTTGGACTTTCTATGACAATGATAATGACAAAACAACAAGATTGCAAGAAAAGAATCACTACAGATCTCAAAGTACTATAGTAAGAAGTAAACCATGACATTAAGTAAAGACAACTTAACATGAATCAACATAATTTACAATGTATAAGACAAATAAGAACTAAATTAAGAAATGAGAAATCCAAGAGATCTTATAAAAGCAGTGAAAGATAAATATGCAATTAGCTACATCCCATCTATTACATGAGCAAATAATCTACACAAGAAAAGAAATACCATAGCTATGAACTTAAGTTTTATCTATTGTAATTGCCTAACTTAAAAATTGTGACAGACTGTTCTGGCTTTCAAAAACCAATGGATAAAACTTCCTAATATCAAGGATTTTCAGTTAGGTATTAATGTTAGAAGACAAAGTATGTTAATGAACACCAAAGTAGAAACAGGATGCTGCAAGCTGATACAATGAATAGATACCAGTGTTGTATGGAACTGTGTTGTGCACAACTTGGTTGCCTGCATAAAATGGGCTCACCAAGCAGATGATGAACTCAAGAGTTTTAAAAGATCAACCTTACAAAGATTTTGTGGTTCAGGATGGAGTTTTTCTTTTCAAGTTTTTAGAGAGATAAGAGTTGTTAGTGATTCTAAATGAAATGCAACAAGAAATTGTTCAGAGCACGTACAGAAAAGGACATTTCTAGCATACATTGTCAAGAAAGACTTCTATATTCCAGACCTAAAAAACTAGTCAAATATATCACTACAACTTGTGTGAAATTTACTCATACTATGGTCTACCATAAGAAGGGTAAGCAGTAGAAGCTCCCACACTCTTTATAAAGATAGCATTCCTCTCCAGATCTATCATATTGATCACCTTGGTCCATTAGAATCCACATATAAGAGTTACAAATGCATATTGTGGCTACATGCCATCATTGTATAGTTATAGTTCATATTTTTATTAAATATATTTCCCTTTGTCTTCCTTTCTATTGTCTTTCTTTCTGGAAGTTTCTCCCTACTTTTGTTTAACGGTGTAACAGCAGGTGACCCCTAGGTAACAATGGGGAAGGTGTGTAACCCTCAGGGTATAACGGGGTCCAAGAGTTCATTCTGGAGGTAGTATAGGACAGGAAAGGACATGTGAAGAAGGCTATTGGGTTGTTGAACCGAGTGGAGACCAAACGGACTTTTCGAGGAGAAAAGAATACGGAGGCTAACGAAAACTGAGAAAGGGTTTTTTTGTGCGTGTTAAAGTGTATAGTGAAGACTAAGAAAATTTCCACAGGAAAGAAATTATCTTTCGTCGTGAATCAAGAGGCTCACCCCCCACTTACTACAATTCCCCGTGAAGCACACCGAAATCATTGGGTACCCGACTTCGTTTTTCTCTCATCTTTATATTTCAATTCCTATCTTATCTTAGACCTAATTTTCATCTTTAGAAGATAATAATTAGCCGTAAGCTTAGTTATAAGGTACAATTGTATATTCTATAAGTAGAATAGTCATTAAACTATGAAATTGTCGCGTTATATAACTGGTCCGTAAAAATTTTGTTACTGAAATTAAGTAAATGTTCAAGGGTAGAGATTGTAGCTGGCATCCGAACCACGTTTCCGGTATTCTGTGCGCAAATTAAAGAATTTCATATCATAAAAGTTGTGTTTCTTTGTCTCCGGTATTCGTGCGTCCCTCACAATATCTATGGTCATGGATGACTTTACAAAATTTAGTTGGCTTTACCCAACCATATTTACAAAAAGTGAGGTAATAACGAAATAGGAGATGCAAAAGGCAACCTTTGAGAACCATATCCAAATCATCTGATATAAAGAATTAGCATTTACTTTTAAAAATATCCAACAACACTGTAATAACAAAGGTATCATTCACATGCTCATAACAATAGGTCTACCTCAGGCAAATAGTCAAGTGAAAAGAATGAATAGCACGATCATTTTAGCTTTGACTTAATTATTTACAGAAGACTGAACAAAATAGTATAACAATGTGCCAGCAATCCAACACACAATCAATTCATTGTATGAACAAAGCATAGGCAGAATGTCTTTTGAGTTCTTGCTTAAACTAAACTGTGCAATAAGATGGATTTAAAGATTACTGCCCTTCTAAATGAAAAGATAATGGCCGAATTCAAAGAACACTAAAATCAGCTAAGAGAAGAAGCAAAGCTTTAGATTCTCAAATGCAAAATGAGAATCAAATGTCTTTTAATCAACCCTGCAAACACCAAAGCAATACCAACATAGAGACTTTCTTGACTTGAGTGTGCTTGATAGTAACATAGACAGTTGCTATCAAGCACACTCAATTCAGACCAGGATTAAAACTGAAACCTAAATATCTAGGACTGTATTGTATTACCAAAGTTAAAACCAATGACACTTACAAGGTACCATGAAAGTGAGCACAATAGCCCAAAAAAGCTCCACCAAAGAAAGAATGGCCAAAGTGTGAGGTTGGCAACATAAGGAGAGAAAGTCGTTGGGTGGAGGCTAAGAAGTAAGATATGACAGTGGAAATTGGGAGTTTGAAGTGGTAAAAGTCAGCTTTGTTTTGTAAACTGTGTGTTTTATTGTTTTCCAACATACAAAGTCTGTCTGGAAAGTTCACAAACTTTGCAAATAGAAGCTGTTTGTATTTACCTAGAAGCTAGTCAGTTTTATCGTCTTCAAAGTATTTCTCTCCCAAATCTATGTTATCAAATTCAGCATTTCTGCCATGAAAAGAACACTTTTTGAAATGCTTCTTTTAGGATAATGCCCACCTCTGCTAGCAAATGTTTTTAATGGCATCAATAGGTTCAAAATGATGATATTTGAAGGTGAATTTTAATTTGGGAAAAAAAAGCTGCTGCCGAGGTTTAGTCCAGTGAATTTGGAGTGGCATTGAATTCTTGGCCAAAAACTCTTTATCAGCAGTGTTGTGTGAATAGAAGCATTGTCATACTGCTTCACAAAGACATTTCATCACTTCTAGATGGTATTCCTTATTTACTGTCTTCCCTTCTGAAAGAAATTCCTGTTGAATAACACTATCAAAATCAAACCAAACAATGAGCAAGACCTGCACATTCGACCAAATTTGTTGTGCCTTTTTGGTCACAGTAAAGATTTTTTCACCAACTGTAATGACTGATGTTTTGTTTCCAAATCATACCATAGACCCATGTCTCATTCCCAGTGATAATGTTTCTCATAAAATTTTTATTAGACCTAGCCCATCCCAGAATCCTTCACTCAACTGCACTCACAGAAAGAAAATCGCAAAATGCAATCAACATGTTTTTACACAAATAAACGTAACATAACGACAAATGAAAATGGAACAAACTGATTTTGGCAGATAGTACAAAAAACTTGCTGGTAGAGCTGTGAAAGCTGTATTCATATTCAATTATCAGTTGGTGTGTAATTTAAAAAGTTTGCAAATTTTCTAGACAAACCTCATATATACATTAAATATTATTGTATTTACAAATTTAATATCTAATTTTAAATTTCAAAACAGAAATAATTTAAAATGAATCTCTTAATTATACAAATGACGATTTCAAAATGTTATTCAATTCTTAACTTGTGATCACATGCAATAGTCAGAAATTTTTCACAACTACTAGTTTTTTGTTGGAATCAATGATCGAAATTATTGTCTAATGTTATACAACATCGCTACATACAATGCATTATGTCGCGATGTTTTGTAAACGTTCTTCTGTTACATAATAAAAGTTTGATGGCACTGTTGACCCCTCTGAGAGCCATTAGAGACAGTGACCTTGTTTCACTCTCCCCTTTTCAGCATTGACCTTCCATGAGTCAACACAGTGCAATCTTTGTGTATTCTTTGTTTCTTTGTTATATAACCAGTTACACGAGTCTAACTTGTTTTTACTAATCTCTCCAACAAACAACATCTAGTCTAACATTTTTTGCAGGTATTCTTCACCAAATTAACTTATTTAGCTGTACTTCCACAATATCCTCATGTTATATGCTATCTATCTGTGTAAAAATTTCAGATGAAAATTCTTTTTCTCACAGGCCCTTAAAAAACCACTGCAGAAATTGTCACCTTATGCATGCAATATGCAATCATATACTTTTCTTTATTGTCACACATTACTATGATGTCATTTTTGGTGATCTGACATAAAAATAAAACCTGCATTTATGTTCTTACATGATTACCACAAGAGGTAGTCATGATGTCATTGATGTTTGTCAGTTATGCCTGATGTAATAGCATGACAATCTGTAACTAATTACAACCATGAATGCTTTGGAAGATAGCCTGGGGTGCTATGGCCTTAAATAATTTTAAATATTTTTGCTTTTTTTTGTACCCAAAAAATACAAAAAAATCACTTTCTAGTCCTTCTGAGAAACACTTTAGTCCTCCCATCATTTATTTCCAGCTGAAATCGTTTCACATTAGCCATCATAAAATTTGAAGAGCTTCTTATGAGAGTCCAGTTAAGGACACTGTTCTGTAACAAAACAATATCTCATAACCTAAACAATGTATGACATCGAAATTTGACCAAGTGCAGAAGACACACATTACGGGATTTTTCAGAATCATCAAATTCAAGAAACAGCAATTATGTGCAGCATAATTACATGTGGAAAATCTGAAAATTGCCACCTTATGCATGTTTGTATGTTAAAAAACTGCATATGATCATGTTAATTAATTTCTGTCAAGTGTGTTCTTTCTTAATGTCATGCACCTTTTATTTTATTTTATTTTTTTATTTGTTATAATTCTCTCTATTACAACCAATGATTTTACAATCTTTAATATCAGTATTATTTCTTATTTTAAAAAAATAATCAGAAAATAATTAGAAAAAATATATTTAGATCATTATTTCAGTACTTTGTCATCTTTTTATAATTATTTTCTGATAATTTCAAAAATATTAATTTACATTACTATTATTACTAACTTTCTGCTTTCATAAAATTATAATGTGATGGTCTGGATTGCATTCTCCAAGAACTGATGCCTTTTGTGATATCAATTATCATTTCAGTACTTTTATGTAAAATTTGTTGAACTTCATCTAGAGATGGTTGCATAATCTAAAAAATAAAGCAAAAAACACTAAGTAAATCAGTTACATAACTATAAGGGTAATATTAGTGAGTTAATTTTAAAGTCATCATTACAAGTTTTATATAAATTTTTTTATCAAATGTAAAAATATTGAATGTTAAATAATAAATGTTAAATGTCAAATATTAAATNACGGAGCGTGACGAACCACAGGAGTATTGTGTTTGGCGACGAAAGCCCGAATCAGATGCGCAGAATGGGCGGATGCATTATCACGATGGAGCTGCCAAGTTTTGATCGACCACAGATCCGGTCATTTGCGTCGCACTGTATTGGAAAGACGACGAAGGACCTCCTGGTAGTACTCCTTTGCGATGGTTTGGCCTTGTGGTGCATACTCACGACACACCACCCCACGAGAGTCGAAAAAACTGTCAACATGACCTTTGATATTGCTGCGGACCTGCCGCGCTTTTTTTGGCCTCAAGGATCGTCCCCGAAAGCCTGCTGAATCTTGCGAATGGTTTACACTCGGGTATCGCTAAGGTTTTTGGCAAAATTTGATGTAATATCACTGCTCACGTTGTTCAGTCATTTTCCAGCTTAGCGGAATCCGACGAGAGCGCACTACACGACCTCACTCATAGGCCGATTGCCAATGACTGACGCTTCCTGCAGGTGGGAAAAAATTCAGGGCTGTGCATGACTGTCCCCTCCACAACTCCACCGAAGGAGGCCTCTTGTACATCATTGGTTTACGCGGAAAAAAAAAAGGTCCGATACTTTTTGAACAGACCTTGTATTGTGGTCAATTCTTTTTTTGCTAAGTAAGTGTTTTTGTCTTTCAGCCTAACATTTATACTGAACTGCATAGAAATACACTGAAAATGTGTGGAAAGGATTTTCCACACATTTTAGCACAGTAAAAAATATCAAGAGAAAAATCTGGCTATTAAGATTAACTTAACAATATTTGAATAGTAATAAGAATTTGATAAAGCAGATTAAGATATTAAATCAAATTTCAAATGAATTCAAAACTGTTCTAAAGATATTTTCAGTGTGTCATTTATTGTCAAAAATATATTGTTCTATCAGAATTTGTTCAAAATTTACATACTAAATATTTTATTTTTTTTCTAATTGTAAAATTAGATTTTATTAAAAAGTTGAAAAACAATATTCTGCATTTTTCAATTCTGGTATATTGTTTAATTTAAAGAATTTTATGTAAGTTATAAAATAATATTTTGTCAAGTAAATTATTGTTGTTTCATGTTCTTAAAAACAAAATTTATCATTACTTCTTTTTAAATTTAAAATATAATTATATAAAAACATAATAGTTATCGTCCATGTTTATCTTAAAAATGATCATCCATTCAATTTAATATCGTAAAATCCGTTATATTTATTCAAATTTAAAAAAAAAATATACCAATTGTTAACTAAATTTCAGTAAAATTAATTTCAGATTTCAACAAAAAAATAAATAAATATCTTACATAGAAAAATACTTTTTTATTTATACCTTAACTGTATAGTCTTTATCTTTCATCCATAAATCTTGATACTCCTTATAACTATCAATGACACTTCTAATAATCTGAGCAATTGCTGATACTGAAGAATTCAATACTAGTACTAATTTTGATATTTCATTATTTTCTACAGCTGCTCTATAATATACTGATATTTCTTGCATACCTAAAATAAAATTTTTAATGATAAAATTTCTTAATACAGTAAAACCTCATTATTTTGAAACTCAAAAATTAAAAAAATACACAACTTTGAATTCTCCAAACGTTTTTAAATCAAATATTTTTGTAATTCTCAAATAAAATTATAACATTATCTTATATAATTTTACTCATTCATTTACAAATATGCTAATATTACAAGTTATTGTATAGTAATTTAAACTATTTTGGAAAAACCATTGGTGGCATGTACTGTACTTAATGTAAACAACAAAAATATATCCAAATCACATTCAAAACAAGACTTGAAAATAACATACAAAAGAAGTCATCTACACACTATTGTTTGAAATTGATAAAAACATCATGTCATGTAATGAGTACTAGTTTCCTTGACACTGATAATAGGATGCCTGAAAATAAAACATGAAAACATTAAAAACACCATTTTCTGTAATATCTTAATACTTACAGCATCATTTCAGCAAAAGGGTTAGAAAGTAGCCATTTTTGGTGGTAAATACTAAAGTAAACTCTATAAAAAAATTAAACAGTAAACTTTATTACAGAAAAAAATAACAATTAAAATGACATTTGCACAAATTTATTTTTTTTTTTATTAATTAAGAAAGTAATACAATGTAGTGTGTTTAATCTTTTTCATATAGTTCATGTACTGTTTTTGATATTTTGTCCACTGCAATTGTTAGAGTATTATCTTCACATAAATGCTTACAAAACACCTTTCTCACAACGGAAACTAAAGAAAATGCCTCGTCACATGTAACATGCACATTTTCCAACAGTTTTCATGTGATCTGATGAAAACAAGCTCTATTAATTAATTAATTAAGCTCTAAGCTATAACTACACTATTCTACACTATTGTAAATATGCACATGAATTTAATAGACTTTGGAATTATTAAAACAATAGATTTTTGCAAAAAAATATCCAAAATAATTAAATATCAAACAAATTTCTTTTATAAAAAAAAATTCTTTCTTCATTGGCAATGCTATACAATATCTAAATTACTTTAAACGGAAGTCAAATAAATCAACAATATATAATTGGTGAAACCAAAACTGAAAATGCCACTTAGGGTTGGAAACTTTCCTTATAAGCATGTAATATAATGAGAGATTTCAAATTAAATAATAATTTTGAATATCACCAGACTAGATAATGACTTTGAATTTCATCATACAAGTATTTCAAATAACCTGAACTAAAATATATGCAAAATCCTATTCTCTTGGCTGAAGAGTAAATTAGACTATGAATATGCAATACTTCAAATCATCTGATATTGAAATAAGAAGATTCTACTATATTTGATTAAGATTTGTATTTGTAATAAAAGAAAATATCAAAAATGAAAAAACTGCCACACCTATAATTAATTTTTATTAAAATTATTTAATTTGAAAAATGGAATTAATGATACTAAAATTACTACAGATTGGTAAGATAATGAAATTTCATACCATTACAATTTTAAAATTGACAAAATTTAAAAATTAATATTTAAACCAAAAACAAGTTCTCTATTTTATAAAGAATTTGTTTTTTAGTTTGAATTAATTTAAGAAATTATGTTAAACAATACTGAAAACAAAATACAAAAAAATATTTGTGAAATTCTACTGAACATCCTTTCACATTCACAATCATTAAAATAATTAACAATAGTGGAGTCAACCTTTCTTTACAGGCTCTTCTAAATAATTTGCATATGTGTAAGTGGAGAAGTTTATATGATTTTGGATATTTATAAAAACTTCTTTATCAAATAAAGATTAAATAATCCAGGATAAAATTTAAAGAAATTTATATGACAAAGAAATTTTTATAAATATCCAACTTTTAAACAATTTGCATACATATAAAGAGAAGAGAATCTACAAAGAAAAGTTGAATCTGTTAGTATTAATTGTGTTTTTGTGATTGTCAATTGACATTTAGTAAGACTTCAAAAACTTCTTAGTTTTGTATTTTGTTTTTAATCTTTATTTTACAAATTTAAGTTAAAATTATTTCAGATTAAGTGAACACAAACTTATATTTAACTGAAAGTCATTACATATTATAATCTATAGATCTAATACAAAATAAAATTTTTGTTTATTACAGTGGAACCTCACTTAATGAGCATAATTCATTCCAGAATCTTATTTGTAATGCAAAACATTCATTAAGCAAAATAATTTTTTCCTATAAATTAATGTAAAATATGATAATGTGTTCCATGCCAAAAAAAATGCTCAAATATTTTATGTATAATGTTTATTCAAAAAAAATTATACAATATACACTGTTAAGGAGCATAAATCATCATCATCTTTTCTCATTATCTTTTCTTCTAGTGCAGAATAAACCAACCTGGAATGCAAATTTGATTTGCAGAAAACAAAAAAAAATTGAAATTTAATTTGGAATTGGTCATTAAATTTAATATGAGATGGCAACATAACTGCCTATCTTTAGACAAATTATTTAATTTCTAATATTTAATTATAGCCTTTACATAGCCCAAGAATTTGGCATATCATTTGGCATGTTTATTATATAACGGGCTATGGTTGTTGATGTTTATATACAGTGCCGTAACTAGGCAGGTGCAACAGGTGCACCCGCACAGGGCCCGCTTGAAAGAGGGGCCCAAAATGCATGTATTTGTTTTATTACTTTCCCAAACCTAATTAATTAAGGGGCCTAAATACAAATTCCTGCACAGGGCACAGGAATGGCTAGTTACGGCACTGTTTATATATAATATGTTTGATCACAAGTTTGGAAAAAATGTGTGATCACAAGCAACACTAAGATGTAAGTGGAACAAGTGCTAAACACAGACTGATGTAGCATGCACACAATCTGGGACTTTCCCTCTCCTCATCATGCGAAATGTTGCTTGTTAAGCGAGAATTTTTTATCATTTGTTTTGCTCATTATATGAATTACTCATTATGAGAGGTGCTCATTAAGCAAGGTTCCACTGTATATTCTAGAGATTATTTATGGTATTCTCTCAAGTCATTGAAGCTTGGGTTTTAGAAATATATTCACTTTTACATGTAATATATATGAAGTTGGCAACATAGGAAAGTTGCTGTAAAAGTTCAAGACTAAGATGAAGTGAGTGAATGCAAGCATGAGGGTTTGAAATGATAAAAATCAGCTTTTTTTTTTTTTATTGTTTTTCCAAATTTTGGAGTCTTGAGATAGTCTTGGACTTTCTATGACAATGATAATGACAAAACAACAAGATTGCAAGAAAAGAATCACTACAGATCTCAAAGTACTATAGTAAGAAGTAAACCATGACATTAAGTAAAGACAACTTAACATGAATCAACATAATTTACAATGTATAAGACAAATAAGAACTAAATTAAGAAATGAGAAATCCAAGAGATCTTATAAAAGCAGTGAAAGATAAATATGCAATTAGCTACATCCCATCTATTACATGAGCAAATAATCTACACAAGAAAAGAAATACCATAGCTATGAACTTAAGTTTTATCTATTGTAATTGCCTAACTTAAAAATTGTGACAGACTGTTCTGGCTTTCAAAAACCAATGGATAAAACTTCCTAATATCAAGGATTTTCAGTTAGGTATTAATGTTAGAAGACAAAGTATGTTAATGAACACCAAAGTAGAAACAGGATGCTGCAAGCTGATACAATGAATAGATACCAGTGTTGTATGGAACTGTGTTGTGCACAACTTGGTTGCCTGCATAAAATGGGCTCACCAAGCAGATGATGAACTCAAGAGTTTTAAAAGATCAACCTTACAAAGATTTTGTGGTTCAGGATGGAGTTTTTCTTTTCAAGTTTTTAGAGAGATAAGAGTTGTTAGTGATTCTAAATGAAATGCAACAAGAAATTGTTCAGAGCACGTACAGAAAAGGACATTTCTAGCATACATTGTCAAGAAAGACTTCTATATTCCAGACCTAAAAAACTAGTCAAATATATCACTACAACTTGTGTGAAATTTACTCATACTATGGTCTACCATAAGAAGGGTAAGCAGTAGAAGCTCCCACACTCTTTATAAAGATAGCATTCCTCTCCAGATCTATCATATTGATCACCTTGGTCCATTAGAATCCACATATAAGAGTTACAAATGCATATTGTGGCTACATGCCATCATTGTATAGTTATAGTTCATATTTTTATTAAATATATTTCCCTTTGTCTTCCTTTCTATTGTCTTTCTTTCTGGAAGTTTCTCCCTACTTTTGTTTAACGGTGTAACAGCAGGTGACCCCTAGGTAACAATGGGGAAGGTGTGTAACCCTCAGGGTATAACGGGGTCCAAGAGTTCATTCTGGAGGTAGTATAGGACAGGAAAGGACATGTGAAGAAGGCTATTGGGTTGTTGAACCGAGTGGAGACCAAACGGACTTTTCGAGGAGAAAAGAATACGGAGGCTAACGAAAACTGAGAAAGGGTTTTTTTGTGCGTGTTAAAGTGTATAGTGAAGACTAAGAAAATTTCCACAGGAAAGAAATTATCTTTCGTCGTGAATCAAGAGGCTCACCCCCCACTTACTACAATTCCCCGTGAAGCACACCGAAATCATTGGGTACCCGACTTCGTTTTTCTCTCATCTTTATATTTCAATTCCTATCTTATCTTAGACCTAATTTTCATCTTTAGAAGATAATAATTAGCCGTAAGCTTAGTTATAAGGTACAATTGTATATTCTATAAGTAGAATAGTCATTAAACTATGAAATTGTCGCGTTATATAACTGGTCCGTAAAAATTTTGTTACTGAAATTAAGTAAATGTTCAAGGGTAGAGATTGTAGCTGGCATCCGAACCACGTTTCCGGTATTCTGTGCGCAAATTAAAGAATTTCATATCATAAAAGTTGTGTTTCTTTGTCTCCGGTATTCGTGCGTCCCTCACAATATCTATGGTCATGGATGACTTTACAAAATTTAGTTGGCTTTACCCAACCATATTTACAAAAAGTGAGGTAATAACGAAATAGGAGATGCAAAAGGCAACCTTTGAGAACCATATCCAAATCATCTGATATAAAGAATTAGCATTTACTTTTAAAAATATCCAACAACACTGTAATAACAAAGGTATCATTCACATGCTCATAACAATAGGTCTACCTCAGGCAAATAGTCAAGTGAAAAGAATGAATAGCACGATCATTTTAGCTTTGACTTAATTATTTACAGAAGACTGAACAAAATAGTATAACAATGTGCCAGCAATCCAACACACAATCAATTCATTGTATGAACAAAGCATAGGCAGAATGTCTTTTGAGTTCTTGCTTAAACTAAACTGTGCAATAAGATGGATTTAAAGATTACTGCCCTTCTAAATGAAAAGATAATGGCCGAATTCAAAGAACACTAAAATCAGCTAAGAGAAGAAGCAAAGCTTTAGATTCTCAAATGCAAAATGAGAATCAAATGTCTTTTAATCAACCCTGCAAACACCAAAGCAATACCAACATAGAGACTTTCTTGACTTGAGTGTGCTTGATAGTAACATAGACAGTTGCTATCAAGCACACTCAATTCAGACCAGGATTAAAACTGAAACCTAAATATCTAGGACTGTATTGTATTACCAAAGTTAAAACCAATGACACTTACAAGGTACCATGAAAGTGAGCACAATAGCCCAAAAAAGCTCCACCAAAGAAAGAATGGCCAAAGTGTGAGGTTGGCAACATAAGGAGAGAAAGTCGTTGGGTGGAGGCTAAGAAGTAAGATATGACAGTGGAAATTGGGAGTTTGAAGTGGTAAAAGTCAGCTTTGTTTTGTAAACTGTGTGTTTTATTGTTTTCCAACATACAAAGTCTGTCTGGAAAGTTCACAAACTTTGCAAATAGAAGCTGTTTGTATTTACCTAGAAGCTAGTCAGTTTTATCGTCTTCAAAGTATTTCTCTCCCAAATCTATGTTATCAAATTCAGCATTTCTGCCATGAAAAGAACACTTTTTGAAATGCTTCTTTTAGGATAATGCCCACCTCTGCTAGCAAATGTTTTTAATGGCATCAATAGGTTCAAAATGATGATATTTGAAGGTGAATTTTAATTTGGGAAAAAAAAGCTGCTGCCGAGGTTTAGTCCAGTGAATTTGGAGTGGCATTGAATTCTTGGCCAAAAACTCTTTATCAGCAGTGTTGTGTGAATAGAAGCATTGTCATACTGCTTCACAAAGACATTTCATCACTTCTAGATGGTATTCCTTATTTACTGTCTTCCCTTCTGAAAGAAATTCCTGTTGAATAACACTATCAAAATCAAACCAAACAATGAGCAAGACCTGCACATTCGACCAAATTTGTTGTGCCTTTTTGGTCACAGTAAAGATTTTTTCACCAACTGTAATGACTGATGTTTTGTTTCCAAATCATACCATAGACCCATGTCTCATTCCCAGTGATAATGTTTCTCATAAAATTTTTATTAGACCTAGCCCATCCCAGAATCCTTCACTCAACTGCACTCACAGAAAGAAAATCGCAAAATGCAATCAACATGTTTTTACACAAATAAACGTAACATAACGACAAATGAAAATGGAACAAACTGATTTTGGCAGATAGTACAAAAAACTTGCTGGTAGAGCTGTGAAAGCTGTATTCATATTCAATTATCAGTTGGTGTGTAATTTAAAAAGTTTGCAAATTTTCTAGACAAACCTCATATATACATTAAATATTATTGTATTTACAAATTTAATATCTAATTTTAAATTTCAAAACAGAAATAATTTAAAATGAATCTCTTAATTATACAAATGACGATTTCAAAATGTTATTCAATTCTTAACTTGTGATCACATGCAATAGTCAGAAATTTTTCACAACTACTAGTTTTTTGTTGGAATCAATGATCGAAATTATTGTCTAATGTTATACAACATCGCTACATACAATGCATTATGTCGCGATGTTTTGTAAACGTTCTTCTGTTACATAATAAAAGTTTGATGGCACTGTTGACCCCTCTGAGAGCCATTAGAGACAGTGACCTTGTTTCACTCTCCCCTTTTCAGCATTGACCTTCCATGAGTCAACACAGTGCAATCTTTGTGTATTCTTTGTTTCTTTGTTATATAACCAGTTACACGAGTCTAACTTGTTTTTACTAATCTCTCCAACAAACAACATCTAGTCTAACATTTTTTGCAGGTATTCTTCACCAAATTAACTTATTTAGCTGTACTTCCACAATATCCTCATGTTATATGCTATCTATCTGTGTAAAAATTTCAGATGAAAATTCTTTTTCTCACAGGCCCTTAAAAAACCACTGCAGAAATTGTCACCTTATGCATGCAATATGCAATCATATACTTTTCTTTATTGTCACACATTACTATGATGTCATTTTTGGTGATCTGACATAAAAATAAAACCTGCATTTATGTTCTTACATGATTACCACAAGAGGTAGTCATGATGTCATTGATGTTTGTCAGTTATGCCTGATGTAATAGCATGACAATCTGTAACTAATTACAACCATGAATGCTTTGGAAGATAGCCTGGGGTGCTATGGCCTTAAATAATTTTAAATATTTTTGCTTTTTTTTGTACCCAAAAAATACAAAAAAATCACTTTCTAGTCCTTCTGAGAAACACTTTAGTCCTCCCATCATTTATTTCCAGCTGAAATCGTTTCACATTAGCCATCATAAAATTTGAAGAGCTTCTTATGAGAGTCCAGTTAAGGACACTGTTCTGTAACAAAACAATATCTCATAACCTAAACAATGTATGACATCGAAATTTGACCAAGTGCAGAAGACACACATTACGGGATTTTTCAGAATCATCAAATTCAAGAAACAGCAATTATGTGCAGCATAATTACATGTGGAAAATCTGAAAATTGCCACCTTATGCATGTTTGTATGTTAAAAAACTGCATATGATCATGTTAATTAATTTCTGTCAAGTGTGTTCTTTCTTAATGTCATGCACCTTTTATTTTATTTTATTTTTTTATTTGTTATAATTCTCTCTATTACAACCAATGATTTTACAATCTTTAATATCAGTATTATTTCTTATTTTAAAAAAATAATCAGAAAATAATTAGAAAAAATATATTTAGATCATTATTTCAGTACTTTGTCATCTTTTTATAATTATTTTCTGATAATTTCAAAAATATTAATTTACATTACTATTATTACTAACTTTCTGCTTTCATAAAATTATAATGTGATGGTCTGGATTGCATTCTCCAAGAACTGATGCCTTTTGTGATATCAATTATCATTTCAGTACTTTTATGTAAAATTTGTTGAACTTCATCTAGAGATGGTTGCATAATCTAAAAAATAAAGCAAAAAACACTAAGTAAATCAGTTACATAACTATAAGGGTAATATTAGTGAGTTAATTTTAAAGTCATCATTACAAGTTTTATATAAATTTTTTTATCAAATGTAAAAATATTGAATGTTAAATAATAAATGTTAAATGTCAAATATTAAATGTTTTATCAAATTAAAATTTTTGATATAACAAATAATAAAAATAAATTGAAAAATTTATATCAATTTTCATATAAACTAACTGTCTTTATAAGGTATGGAAATAAAAAGTCATTTATAAATTCACAAAGATACTATACAAATATACTATACAATACTATAATACAATACAATAAAAGTCATCTTGTCCTTTTCTCGTGCCTCAAAAAATAAAAGTCTTAGGAAAAAATAATCAGAAAATAATTATAACAAATATATTTAAATCATTATTTCAGTACTTTCTTATCTTTTTATGATTATTTTCTGATAATTTCAAAAATATTAATTTACATTACTATTATTACTAACTTTCTGCTTACATAAAATTATAATGTGTATTTAAAAAATTTTGTAATTTAAAAAATTTAAATAATTTAAATGTAATTTTAAAAATACCCTTCGTATTTTATATCCAAACTTCTTTTGATTCATTTAGCTAAAAACTTTTGGCTTACCATGTTCTAGTTAGGCATGTATGCCTATACTTGCTTTACAGATTCACAAAGAGTTAAATATAATTATTGGACTGACTATAAAATAGCCTCCAACTATGTAACATCCTGTCTTCCATCAGTCTTATGGTGGAGTTGACCTTTATTTAGATACTTCTCATCTGCCTCAATATGCAAAACATTAAATATTCTTCCTGGTGACAGCACAATTAAAAAAATACAATGTATATTTGATAAAAAATAAATAATAGCGTAAAGGGCATGAAACATAATAATAATGAAAGAATTTCATTGACCAATAACAACAAACACCCAGAAAAAAAAACAGCACATGCAAAATGAAGATAAAAATAATCAAATTTATGTGATTATAAAATACAGGTACAAACGGGAATCCAACTTAGGGGGTTTTGATTAACAATCACCCAAAATTCCAGGTTTTTGGTAGAATAATAAAGATTACATGCTTAAAACAAACTTGACAATAATAATTTCAAAAATATTCCTTATCACTAATTCTTAATACTAATGTATATAACTAAAAGAAAATAGAGAGTAGGAAGCAAATTGTAGTGAAAATGAAGGATAGGATAGGAAATAATACCAGGTAGTGTAAACATTGTTTGATTACAATGAGGGCCATGTAAGAGCTTCTTAAACACAGAATTCTCACTTCTGTCTTCTTTTTCCTTAATTCTTAAGGGGTTTTGTATATTTGATCCTAACAGCCAGTTGCTCATTCAAACTAGCCAAGTGAAACATCAACCTCAACCCTTTATCTTCAACCAAGAACATTCTGAATTTTTAGCTTAAGTTTCCTTCTTCTCCCATCTCACAGATACTGGACATGGTCACCTCTCTCCTTTTGTCATCTCCCCTCATTGAGATCTGGCCAAAAGTGACCTTCCTTTGCTTTGTATGCCCTCAAGTAACCTCATATTCATTGTACTGGGATTACAGAAAATCTTAATTTCCTGGTATCATCAGTACAATGAATCAGTGAAATAAATAATCATCTTAATTTTTCTAATCTTCTAGTTCTAGGAGTTGGAAAGAACAAAGAACAGAAAAAACAATATCAGGACAAAAGGATACAATATGGCATTCAGCCACAGAGAAAAGGACAATAAGACACTTTTATTGTAATCTTTAATTTTCATGAATTTATACTTATTGTCCTGGCTATTTTATCAAAAAACTTATTTAAATATTTTTAAAAAATTTTAACTTTTATCTTTAAAAACATTAAATTCTTATTTAATAACTAAAGAGCTTTGTCCCTTATTCCCAATATAGACTATTCATAACAAAATGTCATGGTAATTCATTGATTTCCATTGAGACTGTTTGTTTTTATTTCTCTTTTTCATGTATGTAGCATATCCGTAAATGTCTTGCTGCAATTTTAACTATAGAGCTAGTAGTGATCAAAGCCCTTCCATTGTTTAATGATTTTGAACAACTAAAAAACCTATTCAAGCACTAAGGCAGGATGATAACAGCAGTGTGCCCACAATTACCAGAATGATAACAGCAGTGTGCCCACAGTTACCAGAATATGGTGGTTGTCTCCAGCAGGTAATAGTTTTTTTTTTTTTTTTCAATCAATCAAATATATTTATTCATAATAAGGAGTCCTTGTTACAGGGGGTAATGATTTAGATATAAACAATACAAATAATAAGTACATATAAATTAGTTATTTATATAAAAAATAATTAATTAAACACAATTTATTTCTTATGTTGATTATTCAAATCATTAATAATTTGGTTAAAGAAATTTACAATTTTATACATATCTATTTTCGTTAAATTGCCCAGTTTAATTCTATAATCAAATTCGTTATTTGAAGAAAATATTCTCAGTGTCTGAAATCTTTGATGATATTTTTTCAACGCAGTACAGTCTCTAATTATATGAAATGCAGAAAAGTTGTTGGAATCACACCAATAACATGATTTAGTAAAATCTATATAATTATTATTCACAATTAAGGAGAATCGATTTAGTCTCAGTTGTAGTAATAAACGTTTAATATTTAAATTTGTATTCATTGTAATAATGTTCGATTGAGTGGGAAAACTTAGGATATGCAAATACCAGGGATGATATGTTGAATTGAGTAGAGAATTTTGATCACTAATCATCGATTGTGAAATCGCTGAATCCATCATCATAGTGTAAGCATTATTCCAATTGTCAATTGAGTTGTCAAGTAAGATAGTAGATACACCAAATGACTGTAATATTTTATTAAATTTATAGAACCAAGTTGTATTATTGGTATTATCGTTTCCCATTTTATTTTTCATTATATGAAGTAAAAACGTAATATTATCATCTTTAGAATGTATTAAACGATAGTAAAATCTTATTAATCTTTTCATAAAGAATGGAAAAATTTGACATCTGTTTGTTTCTGAGCGAATAGCATAACCAGGTATAGTACGTTCGAGTTTAAATATTTTGCGTAAATAGATAATATGGAATTTTTCCAGGTTATAAAACAAATCAATGGCCCAAATCGGACTAGCATATAGAATAGTTGACATTATTATTGAGTTAAACATTCTCATATGAAGATTTAAGTTTGAGATTTTTAAACTAGCTCCTAAATAGAGAGTATTATTTATTAATTGATTTATTTTATTATTAAGATATTTCATATGTGTTTGGAATTTACCATTCCAGTTGAACATTATACCCAAATATTTTATGTTATTGACCAATTCCAACGGTTGATTATTTATATAAAATGATTTCTCTTGATTTGCCAGTTTAATATTGTTTCTGAATATTATTATTTTTGATTTATCAGTATTGATCGTTAAATAAATAGATTTCAGATAGTCGTTAACTTTATTAATCTTATGCTGTAGAGTAACTTTTGTTGGGGCCAATAAAACCAAATCATCTGCGTATAGAATGTAGTGAAATGTTCTTCCATATATATTAATGCCTTCTGAATCATATAAGAATAGCTTATCTATTTCATTAATATAAAAATTAAATAGATAGGGAGACAATGGCTCACCTTGTAAAATTCCTCGATTTATTATAATTTCAGGATATCTCTGTTTTCCGTATACTATATTGATTTTGTAAGAGGAAAAAAGTTCCATAATTGTAGTTGTAAATTTGGTACCTGCACCAAATACTTTTAATTTGTTAACCAAAGAGGGTACGTGAATAGAGTCAAATGCTTTAGTAATGTCAATGAATGCAGCATAAATTTTTCTTCGTTTTTTCTTTAAGTATATTTGAATTAGTGAGTTTAATAAGAATATGGCCGATTCAGTTCCTTTAGATTTTATAAAAGCAAACTGTAAATTCGAATTTAGTTTTTGATTTATCGTCCATTTTTGAAATCATAATGCCAATATTGATGTGAAACATTT